AATTTAAAGACTTCTACAAGCAAAACGGGTCCAGCCTGTGTGGAACTGCGAGTGCATGTGTCGGGAAAATGTGTTGTTGGAGACACCTAGTGTTACGGCACCATAAAAACAGTGGTTTGGCAGGTGTTTGACATGCTGCGATGTCTGTGCACGGATTATGACAACTGGTCGAAACACACATAAAAGTGTGTCACTGAGATCAATGAAGGCCAAGATCAAAACCAGGTGGAGTCTGACCTCTGAGTATTGTGATGATGGCTCATGGATTGGATATTCAATCTTTTTATATAAATAAATATCAGTTAAATGGAGGAAAAACACCAATAATAACTTAGTAATTCACACATTTAGTAACTAAAATATGGGAATGTGATGTTAAAACTAAAGTACTGTTATTTCCTAAAAAATATAATATATTATTTATGTTGTCTGATGAATTTATTTCGTTACACTTATTAAAGGTCAAGGGAGACATACATAAACGTATGTGTAGACTCAGTGAAATCTGACAGATTAAAAAAAAACTAATTACTAAAGATTGCAAAGTCATATTTTGCTGATGCAAAATTCTGCCTGAGGTTTTAATTCAGGATTACTTGAGTGCTTTTCTTATAATGCCTGTGGCCTAATGCAAAGTGAGGTCTCTGCAGTTTTCCTGCTTTTATTCACAATGCAGGGCCAGTATCAAGTCAATTTCACATTGCACAGCAGGAGCCAGCACATCAGATTACATCTAAGTGCTGGAAATAGTCTGTTTGGTTTTGGAGAGGGTGCTTCCTGGGTAGAGAGTACAGGGGGGGCAGGAGAGTTAACATCATCAGTTATCACATAGGCATAAATCACAAGGACTCTGATCTAGAGAGCTGGCAGGTTAAGGACCGTTTAATGTCTGTTCTGGCTGCAGGGGACATCTGCATTGTCACTTGTTTCTCTGCGGGGTGATGTCTTTGAAAGTTCTGGGCTGTAGCGCACGTGTAAAAAAATGTTATTTGATTGATTTACTTTAACTTATAAAATCATTGATTCAAAAATGAAAGTAAAGTCAGCTGTTGCCGAGAGACCAAATGTTTTGGTTAAAGGTTTCAGCCTGCCTGTGCAGCTGCCTTATCGTTCTCACATCGACAGTATGTCTTCCAGTATTTCAGGAATGCTTTCAGATTGAGATATTCCGTATGATTTAATACTTTGTCGGATACGAGTTTAAGAATATACACAGAAGATAGAACAATCTATCCTTGGCATCCTTTTGTTAAGACACACTAACCTCCCCGGGGTCATTGTACCAGAGCTCCTCGTGCAGCCGGTCGGGGTGAGCTTTCTTCCTTTTGATCTCAGCGATGACATCAAAAACCTCTGAGTCAGAGCTGCTGGAGCAGGTGGTTCCTTCGCCTTCTGACTCACAGTCTGAGTCGCTGCTGCTGTCATCTGAAACCACAGTGCAAGAAGGTCTTTAATCACGCCAATGCTACGCGGCTAACGATTAAAACTAATTCGGCGAGCCGGAGCTGGTCGAGTGGTTAAGCTCCTCTGCTCGGCGGTGCCCTCGCAAAGTATTACACTCACAAGGCAGAGTCAAAGTAAAGTAATCTGTCAAAATGCTTTAAAACTGTGCACTCGGGCTCTGCCAACTCTTGAAGAGGAATACTCACCCCGGCTGTGCAGATGACACAGCAGACCTTAAGATCTGTTACCTAATTTGCACTTGCTTAATCTTTCGTTATGCAAACAAATATAGTTTAGCATGACTAACAGCTAACCGTGGTGGTTTCGTTGTCTAAACACTGTTGTTCATAACAATTTCCAATTTTCATGCCAGTTGCAGACTTTAATGCATCCGTGAGATTAAAAGCGGGGTGCACTTGCCAAAGTTGACATCTGGCACTCGTGTTTTCTCTCCTCCTCTCTCACTTGTCATTCTCCCTCACCGAAAACAAACCTCAAACCAAAATGAGGATTATAATTACCATTCTGCTGAATGGTTTGTGGCCCTTAGCTAAGCAGAGTCTTTAATTCTTATCAGCACTTTAACTCGAGTGTTTGATTGTGAAGTCGGCGCCCAGAGCAGCATATTTAGCAAATTGGATCTCCCTGAGTGAGATTTATATTATTGCGGTGGTGAAATAGACAATCGGGCTGACAGCCCTGCAGATAAAATCAGAAACATAACTTAATCTCTGTCTCGCCCCAACGCACTGCTGAGAAGATAGCAAGCTTTTTTCCCCCATATCAATAAAAAAGGTTGTCAACAGATGTTTTAGCTGATGGCTTTTATTTGGTAACACAAGTATGTGCAGGCCAAGGTTTTATTTAAAGACGATCATACATACATACAGTCACAACAGCAGATATTAAACATGGCCAGTTATAAATGATGAGGGCAGTGTATGTAAAATGCTCT